TTGTCCTTCAAAGAGGAGTGGGAAGGCCCTACCTGTAGTGTTCAGACGCTTAGGATGTGCTTCAGGAAGGCTGCAAAGAGAGGCAAGAGGGCCTTCAGAAGCAGGCCCTTGGATAATCCATCTGACTTCAGATGATCCAAGCCCCAGGATGCCCCAACCAACATACCACAAGCCTCTGCCTCCCCTCTTCCCTGTCCCTTTTGCTCTTCTGGCCCCTCACCTTCATAGTTGATGCAGCCATTGCTGTCCTCATGTCCTGCAAGAACAGTCTCCACTTCCTCTTCAGTCATCTTCTCTCCTGAGCCCCAGACACAGCGTTTTAGCCCCTGCCTTCAACCCCCTTACCAACTAGGTCATGCTTCTCTGGGTGGTACCTCCTCTTCTACCACTCTGTTGCCCAGAACCCCAAAGGAATCCTCTCTTTGTAATGGTAGTGCCTTGGATGTGTTTCTGTATCTTGCTTTCCATTTCACCTGCATTAACACTAGGTGAAAGCTTTGACACACAAGGAAACTAAATTCTGGAACGTTAAGAAAAAGTACCAGATCACAAAGCACAAGCATCAATTCTAAAACAGAAAGTCAGGTTTCCCACCTCATCCCCTTTTCTTTTCCCTTTGGGAGGCATTTGTGTGCCCCCTCACTTTAGCCTCTGCAGGAGGAAGCTCTTCAGGTTCTACCACCATGGTTCTGACCTTCTCAGTCTCCTGCCCATGACCTACAGGCCAGTAATCCCTTCCTGGCTCTGCCTACTTGGCAACTTTCTTTTTGGTTCACTCTCTTCTCTCCACCCCACAGGAGTTCTGGTCCCTGCCTCACCCAGGGTGGTGAGGACATGTCTGAGCTCTGCTCCCATGACTTTGCCATTCCCTTCTTTGTCAAACACCCGAAGCCCCTCCAGGTAATCCTCATATGTGCTTTGGTCTCGGTTCTTGGCCACCGCCTGGAGCATGGGCAGGAAAGTCTCGAAGTCCACACGCCGGGACTTTAGCTCTGGAGGTTAGAGAGGTAAGGGAGGGGTCACTGTAGTGTCACCTAGGACCCAGTTCCCATCCCTCCCATGGAGGCTTTCATCCCGTTCAACATTCAGGATGTTTTTCTGCCCCTAGTTTTGACAGTTTTTGAAGTCCTGAGACCCACCCCAGCATCCTTTGTCACCTTACATTCCTAGGTTCCACCACCAAACTGAAAACCCCCATTGTTCCAGGGGTCCCCTCACCATCACTCTTGGGGTGTCCCAGAACCTTGAGCACCTCGGCGTTGGTGGGGTTCTGGCCCAGGGCTCTCATCACATCCCCACACTGGTTGTACAGGATCTTGCCATCCCCTACTCGGTCGAACAGCTCAAAGGCCTCCTTGAACTCTGAAGTATAAAGAGGGGTCAGTGTTGACCAGGGGTTCTCATCACCCCCAGACAGAAAGGAAGTTCAGGAACTATGTGCGAGAGCTAGGCAAAACAAAGGACACGAAGGACTAGTGTGGGAAGTTTCAAGGTAGGGACTGGAGTTAGGGGAATACAAGGATCTGACTAGGGGCTTGAGACTAGACAGTGGGCTCAGGGGACCAGTTTCTCCTCACCCTCCAGCTGGTCCTTGTTAAACTCGATCTGTGGAAAAAAAGAGCAGGTGAGAAGGGATGACAGGGCTCATTGAATTCCTCTCCAGCACTCCCCCCAACTGCCAGCCACTTCTGGTGAGGGGCCCAAAGGGACCAGTCTGGGAGCCCAGCCACCTCAGTCCCATTCCCAGCTCTGGATCTTGGGAGAATCCCAAGAGAAGGAATTATCCAGGGGGAGGGTTTCCTGGGAACAGGGTTAATCCCATGCCACCTGTTCCCCTCCCTCCACTGCCCTGAGCCCTGCATCCCTCACATAACTGGGGGCTGAACAAAGGCTAAATTTACCCCTGGCCCCCAGCTGTGATTGTCTAACAAGTCTGTCCTCTTCAGCCTTGCTTCCTGGGGTTCAGAGATGTGGCCTTTAGAGTTGAACGGTCAGCCAGGAACAGGGAGCAGCTCCCTCCCTTCACCTTGAAACTGTCCTCAGAGCCCAGATGTTCCCCATATCGGTTCCTGCCTCCAGCAGGGGGGTTAATGAGTGAGTATGTATGTGTATGTGTATATGTATGTGTGTGCGTGTGTAACATACACACACACGTGTTATAGGTTAGAGAACAAAGACAATAGCAGAGTCGCAAGCCTGGATGTTCCAAATGAGGTACTAAGAGGAACCCCCAATATCATCCAGTGCTCACTGATTCCTACCTTCTAGGTATCTCTTAATTCCCTAGGCTGTATCCCACCCTTGTACCACCCCCTCCAAATTCTTCACTTTCCAGGGACTTACCACCACTTTGGAGAGATCGATAGGGGGCTCCCGGGTTTTCTCAGGAGCCGAAGGGACAGCTGCCGTTGGCTCAGCCTTGGTCTTGCCTAGAGGGGCCCCTGCTGCTGGCTTGGCAGCAGGCTTGGAGATAGAGGGCCCCACTGGTTTCTTCACAGGAACATCCTTCTTGGGAGGCATGATGTCCGGTGGCCAAAGGACAGTGTGCCGATGGGGGCACCCATCTCTGTTTAAATAGCCAGGGAGTCTGGGATGTCAAGGGGCGGGGGCAGAGGCAGGGAGCCAGTAGGCGATGGGGAGGGTGAGATACAGGAGGGATATGCCAGCCTGCCCTCATTCCCCTGGCCTCCTACGGTTTAGGACTTCTGCCCTGAGGTATTCTTCCTTCTGTCTCCCCAGCCCCAAGCTCTAGCCAGAACAATGGCTCCTTTAGGGTCAGGGGAAGGAAGCCAGAGATTGCCCAGAAAGGGGGAGTTAGTTAATCTGTAGGTTGAGGACAGGATGCTTACCAGTGACAATGAGATAGGGGTGAGGCAAAGAAGGGAATCCAGGCATTTCAGGCCCTCAACCCCCTACTCTGAGTAGCCCTTTATTCTAGCAGCTTTAGACTCTTGAAGGCTGAGTCATAGAGAGGGGCCTTGTGAACTGGGATAGTTAAAGTGGGACCTGGGAGCAGTGAAAGTTGAAAAAAACAAGCAGCCCCTCCATTCCCCTCTGACTATGGATGAGGAGCCCCGGCAGTTGACTCTATAGCCTAATAATCCCTAATACTTATAGTCCCTGTCCTCCTCCCTCCCAGCCCCAAACTGGAACTGTTCACAATATAGAGAAAAGATAGTATAGAAAAAGGAGTGTGATGCCCCCAGCCTATTGTCTCCTGTGCAGTGTTGTTTTAGGGGTGGGGGAGAGGAAACAATCAGTGTAACACCCACCGCCTATCTTCCCAAGAAAAGAACCCTTTTCCATAAGCCCGTGATCATTCAAATCAGACAAAGGTAGGGTTCCTGATGAACCTGCAGGGACTCCATAGTGGCATCTAAGGGAAAGGGCAGACTCTGGTAGACAAAGGGCCTAAATTCTAAAATCTTCAAAAGGGTGTGGGAGGTCCTATGGGCTCCATGAGTACACACCACCACCACCTCTTCCCCACCCCCCAACCAGAAGAGTAATAAAAACCCTGACTCAGGTACCAGGTTACAAACCTTGCTGGGGAGCGCAAGGGGAGGGTCGAAGTCAGTGGCGTTAGGGAGAAAGGAAGGGTTGCTGACTGCTTTTGTTCTGGAGGTAATGGAGAATAAACAACAGTCTTAGAAAGAGATAAATAATTCCATTTAGGCCCTGCGCTTTGGAGAGTAGATGCTGAGTCTCCCAGTCGCAAAAAAAGCTTCTGAATCTCATTACCGCAAATTGTCCCATTTTAGTCATTTCTCGGACGTACATCACACACACACACACATGATGCGATGGTGAGGGGAATGTTTATTAGCAAGCTGATATCAGTGACTGTGGTCTTACAGTAACATAAATCAATAGAAACACTCAAATCACGAAACATCAATCACACACACACACACACACACACACACACACTCAGACTTAAATAAAGGGGAGAGTCCCTTCCCAGCTCCACAACACTCACCCTGCGGAATCCAGGTAAGGGAGGCGGGGCGCAGGGCGGCTGCGGGCCCCGAAGGGTTAATTCCGACTGCCTCGGAGCACGCCGGGAGTTGTAGTCTCCTCGCTCCCGCGGGCTCATGGGAAACGCCGCTCTCTAACTCGAGGAGGATGACGGGACAGTGGCTTCCGGCCGGTGGCTGCGCTTGGTGACTCCGGCTATTTCAGGCGCGATTCTTGTCCCGGAACTGAAAGGCAATGAGCAATTTACAGTCCCCACCCCTGACCCTAAAACCGCTCAGGGCCTCTCAGGATGTGTGTCTTGCTTAGACCTAAGTTCCTCATTTCATTGTGGGCGGGGAAAGGCTGAAGCTGCAGCTGCAGCAAGTCGGTTGGAGGTCAGACAGTAGGAAACACTGCCCCGGGGAGAGTGGTGTGGTCTCTTTAGCTTCCACTTATGGTTTGGTAGAGAGAGAACAGAGGCTATTGAGTTGGTGCGTGACTTGGATCAATCAGTAACTCTGAGGATTTTTAAATTTTTTGAAATGAGCTGGTAGTCGAAGTAAATTTTTAGGTTTGGAATTAAGCCGGGTCACCTGCTCCAGTTTCTCCTAGCTGAAGTTTCTTCTTACTGCGGCCGCATCGGCCAGCTACCGTGTCTGGTCTTCACAGATCTTCTTGGAACAGAGACCTAGGCTCTCCAGCCCTTCGCTCTGAGACACCGCTGCCCAGCATTGGACAGCTCATTATCCTAGACGTTTATCTAAGGTCTCCTCTGTGCCAGCCTGGCCAGGCCCACCTTCACCCGCTGAATCAGTAAATGCCCTGGCGGCGCATCTCCTACTGGAGGCTGAGGCTACCTGGTCATGGAGGCAGTGAATAATAATAGAAAACCCGTTCAAGGTCAGAAGGGTGCGGCCTAAGTGAACTTTATCGGCAGTAAGAAACGTTCGTTAGTTGGGGAAAGCTTTTCAGAAGACTAGAATGAGCTGTGTAATAGAAATAAGGATGATGAGGAAGGTGTTAGCAACCATTCCTGGAGGCCTTCATGAAGCAGTACTGCATGAGGGGCTAAATCATCTGAGACAGGTGCGTAGGGGCCCAAAGAGTGTGAGCTCAGACTTGGCCGCTTATATTTAAATCCAGGTCTGCAGGTATTTGCTGGTAACATCCAGCAAGTTTAGTTATCTCTCTGTGCCTCAGTTACCCCATCTGTAAAATCTGGATAGTAATATCTCAAAGGGCTCTGGGGAGGATTAGATGTCTTAATATTTGTAAAACAGTGGGCTTGGCACAAAGTAAGTAGTATGTATATAAGTGTTTGTTAGACTTCCTTTAGTCTTCCCAACATAGGAGTTTGCTGATATTTTCCCCCATTTTACATACATAAAGGATCTCTCTAGGCATGAAAAAATGGAGACCAGAAAGGAATACATTTCTAAGTGTTTAGTTATAAGACTGTTTGGGGAAGGGCCACATCACAGATGCCTTCTTGTGTCTTTCATCACTTCCACAGAAGCTGATTTCAGAAATGTGGTTTATCTGATTTTCTCCTCTTCCTTTCCTCTAGCTATTGCTCTCTTTTGGCACCTTGCCAAATAGAAGCGGTTATGGCATCATCTGACTTTCTAGCATTTTTGTCTGCTTTATAGAGAAGTAGTGCAAGGAGAAAAGATAAAGACCCTTGGCAGGACTTCATTTTCTGTACTATTTCTGTCTTATGTTAATAAATAATGCAAACTGAACTGAATGTGGTCTTAACTGGCATAGGTGATTCATACATCATGTATGTGGATTTTCTGTGACAGATGCCTATCTCTCTTTTCTTTCCCCACCTAGCACATGACTTGTATGTTCTTAGAGACTGCATATTTATTCTACTATTAATCTCAACATAAAATAATTAGGAAGGGCATATCTTTAAAAGAAAATATACATTAAAACAATTTTTGGAATTACACAGAACTATAGATCTTCAATAACTTGAATAATTGTGGGTTCATCTTATACAGCTTTACTAGCTCTTTAGATACCAGCTAATGTTTTAATATGGATAATAGCTTATGTAAGGAGGACATTATTTCCTAAGTACATAGGAAAGAATTTGTTAGGAAAGATGTCTACAGTCCTCTGGCATTTTGACCAGAAAGTGGTATTGGTGCTAACCCATAATAGAAAGAAGAAGGAAGATAATGAAGATGTTTTATGATACACAGTTTATAAAGTCCTTTCCAAGTCCCATTTTATAGGCCCATACTAGATGCAAGATATAAACAGAAAATAAATGTTAGAGTAAGTAATGCTAGTTTCATTTTGTAATGGTCTAAAACAGTGGTTCTCAGACTTAGCTGTTTTTTTAGAATCTCTTGGGAGCTAGATAATAGACAAACTACTAGCCTCTACCCCCAAAGATTCTGACTCAAGGTCTGTGTTAGGGCTTGGGAATCTATTTGAAATATTTTTAGCCTATTGGAAAACAGAATGAACTAACAAACATAGGTAACCACAGCTTTAATAAAAGGAGTGATCTTTTCAAAATGTGCATTTGATCATGTCATCTCCCTACTTAAAATCCTTCTATGTGTTTTAATAAAGACAAAATCCATACACTGGCCCACAAAAGCCAGCACAGTTTCAAATACTCCTTGCCTGTACCAGCCACACCTCTGCATCAGCCACACCTGCTAACTTTCAGATCTTCAAAAGTGTCCTATGTCCTTTTTGCTCAGGTTAATGTCTCTGTCTTTTATGTCTCTGGTCCCTCTCCCCGCTAACACACACTATTTCCAGGGCCAGTCAGAGCATACTGCCCGGCATCTATGTATCGGGCACTCAAATATCTGTAGAATGAATGGCTATCTGAGTAAAAGGGAATAGTCAAGGATGGATACTGATACTAGTAAGTCAATAGGGAGATGGATTGGAGATTGAAGAGATTGAGAGAGTTCCTATGTTTTGAACTCCTATTTTTACCCTGAAGTAGAAGGCGAGATGATTTATTTGCTAAGAGAAGAAGTAGGAGGAGGTGACTTGAGAAAATGGTAAAGGTTTGAAATAGGTGCTGTGAAAGATGGGAGACAGCTTACTGGAGACCCATTCACAAATACCCATTTGATATTTACTGAGTGCCTACTCTGTGGTCCACACTCAAACTTGCTGATCAGCGTGGAGGGTGGTTGCAATGGAAGATCATGAATTGGTAATGTCACCAGTCTATAATTTCCTCCCTCCAGGAGTACTCAGCTACTTGGATGATTGAGCTAGAGAAAAGAGACAGCTGAAATAGTAATGGGTTGGAGTTTTGTGGAATAGAGATGATGGATGAACATGGAAGCAAGGGAGTTGGGAGTCTGAATAAAAGAGGGTTTGTAGTCCAGGCCAAATAGAAAAGAAATGAATATAGAAGTGGCCTATTAGATTTAGAGAATATGGAAAGTCACTAAGAGGCTAGGGTTTCAATGAAGTTGAAGAAATGAGATGGTTGGAGATATCAAAGTTGTATTTGAAGAAAACAGATTGAAATTTACTGGAGAGGATATGGAGAAATAGGAACCCTCATACACTGCTGGTAAGACTGCAAATTGGTACAGCCACTATGGAAACCAGTATGGAGGTTCCTCAAAAAAGTAAGAATTAATCTACCATATGATTCAGCAATCCCTCTCCTGGGTATTTACCCCAAAGACTTGAAAACTCATATCTGAAAAGATATTTGCTCACTGATGTTCATAGCAGCATTATTCACAGTGGCCAGGACATGGAAGCAACTGAAGTGTCCTACGATAAATGATTGTCTAAAGAAGCTGTGGTACATATATACAAAGGAATATTACTCAGTCATAAGAAGAGATAAAATAATACCATTTGCAACTACATGGATGGACCTTGAAATAATCATACTAAGCGAAATAAGCCAGAGAGAAAAAGTTGAAAATTACATGATATCACTTATATGTGGGATATAAACCTAAAAGCACCAAATGAACAGGACAAACAGAGACTCATGGACATGAACAATGGACTAGTGGTTACCAGAGGGGAGAGAGGAAGACAGGGTAAAGGGGGTCAAATATATGGTAACGGAAGGAAACTAGACTTTAGGTGGTAAAACGGGAATTTAAATAATTCCTTCAATTAAAAAATAAAAATAATATAAAGTGATTGTCGATAGATTTTTTTTTTAAAAAGTTCAATCTGAGATTCCTAATAAAAGTTCCAGCAAAACAAACTTAAAAAAAAATAGATTGAAATTTCAAAGGATGCAGAGGAAGACAGGAATTAGAATCAGTGGGCAAGGGTAGTGAGGTGAAGGTCATTGGATTTGAGGAGAATGTACCTTAGAGTTCTTTCAATTGCAAATAGCAAAAATCTAACTAAAACTGGCTAAACAATAAAGAGGATTTATTGCCTTATGTAACTGAAAAGTCAACAGGTTGTGTGGGTTTTAGATTCATTTTGATCCAGAAGTTCAGGACATAAAAAAAAGGATCTGTTTTCTAATTCTCTTGCCACTGTTAGCTCCTTCCTTTGGTCCCCTCCTAGAGCCAAATGCGGCTTAGCTGCACAGCTATCACACATCCTTATTCCACAAGAGGAAGCAAGTGAGCTTCTCTTGACCATTGAAATCAATTCCTGGACTTCACTCTGATTAGACCAACTTAGAAAAATGTCCATCCATCCTTGAACTAATCAACCTGGCCAGGACACGATCATGCCCTGATTGACTTACACATAGGTTATTGCCCACCCCTGTGGCAAAGAGGATGGTGTTGCTCTTATTCATTTAGACCACTCAGGGTATGTCTGTGCCACTGGAGGTGGATTGGAATCCATCCACATAAGAAGGAGTGGAAAGGATGTTGGGAGAAAAACCAACAATGTCCACCATAGTGGGGAACTATGATGCTAGTTATTGAGTGACCTAAAATGTATATTGAAGACACCAGGATGATAGCAGCATTAAGAGTGCCACACCCTTTGATAATATTGAGTGTGCAAGTATTTAGTGAATGACAGAGATGAAAGAAGATAGAGACTGGCATCATCTCCAAAGGATCTGAGATTTTTACAGCTCTAAGAATAATGATGAGAGAGCAGCACTGGGGCACAAGGAGAATGCAGACCCCACCTCCCAGTATAAGTATATA